ATTTGAAAAACCTTGCAAGCTATGACAAAACTGGTTGGAAATATAATAGAGCTGACTGCAAAAGAAAAACAAACAAAAAAAAGCACTTAACATTTTAGGATTCCAATGGCAATGTGCAGTGGTCTACCGGTCATTCCAGTACCTGAATTATAGCACTGTTGTGAATCATCACTCTACAATGAATGGGCATTTTTAATTTAAAATTTAAAAGAATTCTCCAGTCTTCTTCCTAGTGAGTTATACAAAAATATGGAAAAATGGGAGGATTAAAAAAAAAGAACTATATGAACAATTTGGGGATAAAAACAGATGACCTTCAAAAGGCAAATAAAGTTTATCAAAAAGGACCACGGAACAGATGGTACAAGTAGGTAGGAATGAGGTACCTATACAATGCCAAAAGAAAGGGCAGAAGAGGTCAAAGATGTCTAGTGAAGCAGAGCCATCCATAACACTGGGTCAGAAAAGTCATGACATATTTTTCTGTTTTTCCATGCAAAAATGTATCATGGCTTTTTCAATGACCGAATATATCTCCTGGTGTATTGTATACTTCCTTATGTAATAAATCTTATATGCATTCCCCACTGTCATGAAACCTCCATAGGACTATTTATGAGAAGGCAAAGGAGCTAAACAATGTCAACATTCTGGAAAAATAATTCATTATCTACTAGGACCTAGCTCCTCATTGAATTCATAATAAAATCCAAATACTAACATTACTTCTCAGGCCTGATGTGACATTCCCCTACCAACTCTGACTTTGTGTCTTCCTGCCCTGCCCCCCTACCCCCATCATTCTGCAAGCTCTAGCAACACTGGCTTTCAGGTCCTTGAACTGTATTCACTGGTTCTTAGTGCAATTCCTTTGCACTGCCATTCTGTCTGGAATGCTTCTCCCTTTCTGTATAATTCAGGTTTCAGTTTAATTTTATCTCCTCCAAGAGACTTTCCATCCTGAAGTAGTCTACCCTCTTTTCTCTACCCTCCTGGTCCATTTATTACATTCCCATTTCTTTCAAAGCTTTTATCATTACCTGAATTCCCTTACTTATTATTTTGAGTTTCTTTCCTTCCATGTCCCTCTGCTCAACAGAACATAAGTTCCACAGTGTTATATCCCAAAAAACTTGTACCCTACACATAGCAAACAATGTATGAGTGAATAAATGAATCAGAAAGAGTAAAGGGACTCACAGTGAAAATGCCCCCTCCCCCAAAAAATACTGAACAAAAAGACTAGGGAAGAAAATTAAAAAGAAAAGGAACAAAGTGTAGGGTCCAGGTAGTGAGACATGGTTGTGGTGTACAACACTGGGCTCTGTAAGTTTTTCACATGCTTTCTAAGCAGAGGAACTGGCAAGTGCAAAGAGGAACTTTGTATATCACCATACATGGCTGTTGTTATTGCGTTATTGTGGTTTTGTTTTCAGTGTGTGTGTGTTTGAAGTTGGCGGGGGGGATCCCTGTGCGTTTCTCTTGGGGGAGACTGAGTTTCCTCTTTCAGGCTGCAGATGTTGCATGTTCCTGGTGTTGCTGATGAGAACCATCTACGTACAACCACTCAAGTAGCCCTGCAGCCTATTCTAGGACTTTTAGGCAACAGACTAGGAACAAGGAAGGAATGATTGCCACACTGTACAAGGTTGTATCAGTGAGAGGTGAGATGGTATGGGTGGTACAGGTGATCCCCAATTTGTTTTTATCCAGAAAAAGATGTAGGGAACCAGCAGTTAGCGTAATGGCTATGTCGCTGGATTCCCACATAGTCGACCGCGGTTCGTGTCCCGGAACCGGTGGCTTAAAACTCATGCCGGGCACGTGTGCGTGCGTGCCCAAGATCCCGAGAGGAGAATGGAGGAGAAGGGATTGCGGCGTGACCATCCCCCCTGGGGGGTGATTTCTCGCTTTCTGTCTCTATGTTTCTCTCTGTCTGTCTGGCGAGCGCACGCACCCTACAGTGAAAATCTCTCAAAAAAAGAAAAAAAAAAAAAAAGATGTAAAGCCCTGTCACTGCTGTGACTCAGGGACCTGTGACCACGGTTGCTTGTGCAGTCTGCAGCCCACACTTTTGAATGGCTACCTTGGAACTCCACAGCTGCATGTATGTGGCAAGAAGAGGGTCTCATACTACTTGCTATGTCAGAAAAATCTATCATTGGAAGACAGAATGGCAAAGTCCTCTCCGGAAGCCCCATAAACAAGACTGGTAAGAGGCCTCTGTCCTCCTGGTGATCTGTCCCTTGATATGGGAAGGATATTTTAGTTCTCCTCTAATCCCTTGTTTAGGATTAAAAGTGACTTCAGCTTTGGTGTAAAGCTATCAGCTGCTTGAATCAAAGACAATACTTGAAAATTAGACTCTAGGGACGGGGGGGAGTGGAGGGGAGGACACTAGGGATAAAAGGGCAGAACTGAGCCTGCATCTGCAGAAAATGTCCAAAGATGGAAGATTCTAAGGTGGCACGGTGGCGTGGTGGTTAAGGGTGCTGGATTCCCACAAGGTTAACCAAAAACAGTTCGTGTCCCAGACCTGTTGGCTTGCTTCCTCTCTTTCCTTCTCTCTTGTGCTCTATCCTTCTAAATGAATGAATAAAGTAAAATAATTAAAAAAAAAAAGGAAGGTTCTAGTTAAGATCAATGGGAGAAGGTATCTTAGCGTGAAGGTAGAGAAATCAAACAAGGAGGGATTGTCTTACCTATCCAGAATGGAAAAGTGAGGGGAGGGGATATCTGCATGCAGTAGACAACTGAATCAGAAACAAAAGAAACTTAGATCAACAGTGATTCCCTATTTTGGTTCTTGTCAACTTAGAGTGGCTCTTGTCACTGGCCAAAAAATGTTCACAAGACCTAACTATCAATGCAACAAACTCATATGAATTCTAAGTTAGAGGTGGTTTAGTCCTAAAGCCTGGGGTTTAACCAGTTGCTGGAAGAGGAAGAATAAAGGAGTGGAATCTGAACATAACAATAAGTAGGCAAGTATCTCTGGCCACTTTGGACATTGCTGGGGGATACATAACAGCTCATGATCACAACGCATCAGATACTTATATCTGTTGTTCCCCAAGACTGACATGACAATGGGCTTCTACTGTCTTAGCTTACAGAGACATTATTTAGTCCAGTTACAACTGGATTTTACAGAAGAGTCTTTGACCACATAGATATTGGTAAAATTAATGCAGTTAAGAGAAAAGTGTAGGGGCTGGAAGTCAGACAAAGTATGTTCCCACCCTGGTTCTGGTGCAGTTCAGGTGTATGAACCTGGAGAAGCCATTTAATACCTCAGGGTACCACCTGATGTTCACTTGTAGATTGTGGGTGATGCACCCCTACAAACTCCCTTAGTATTCCTCAGATCTCAAGATGGAAGCTCAAGCTGGAAATTTAAAAGCAAATGGAAGGGGGCCAGCAGGTGGCATGGTGGTTAAGGTGCTGGAATTCCCACATGGCTGACCACAGTTCGAGTCCCATATCTGGTGGCTTATTTTTTCTCTCTCCTCTCTTTCTCTGTCTTTATCTGGCAAAACTCATGGGGAAAATAATAATAATAAGTAAATAAAATAATTTTAAAAAAAAAAGCAAGTGGAAGATGTGACGCCAAACAAACTGGGCAGCTGCTTTAACTCTCTAACATAACTATCCATCCTCTTAAAAGGACTCACTGACTACTAGTTTGATAAGTACTGTCAAAGGACATTTATTTGTAACTTTTGAGAAAAGTAATTTTCAGATGCTAGTCTTAGAATACACTCAGATCCTTTCCAGTTTGAATGAACAATTCTAATTCTTGGCTTGGTTGGGAGTGGGGCTAAATGAACCCTGAGCTGTACACCCTTGAGAAGACATAATAAAAAAAGCAACATCTATGCTATCAGTGTTTAGTTTGAACAGTTGCTGCACAGGTGACAGCCCCATGCCCTGTACCAAGTTTTAAACAACATCACTAGTATCTTTATCCAAAAGATACTTGAGATTTAAATGCTTATTACAGGAGAGAAAAGAACATTTGCCAAGTGTCATCTATGGGCTAAGCACTTGCTAGATGTTTTATGTACATTCTGTCATTTAATCCTCAAGGCAATTTTAAATGGTGTTATTTTCTTCATTGTACAGGTGGAGAAGATGAGACTCAGAATGCTTCCATGACTTGCCCAAGGTCACATCATTAGCATGTGGCAGAGATCTGAAATAAAAGTTTGGGTTTTCTAACTCCACAGCCCATACTTTTTCTTCTATATATAGTATTAGGCAACTGAGAAGAAAAAGACATGAGAGTAAACAGTTAGCTAGCAAAGTTAGGGATGAGGATTTTTACTTGTAAAAAGCCCACCCACCTGTATCCTTCTGAAATATTCCAATTTTCAAAGAATCAGAATATGATTCTGGCATTCAGTACTAAATCACTACTGAACACAAGCAATCTGACTTTGCTGACTCAGAGGCTCTTCCAGGTCTTCTCTGTATCTTCCCCCAGACAACATCAATTATTCGTGCACTACAGGTAAATGGAAAAAGAAAATGCCAGGTAGAGAGCACCTGCCTTCAAGATGCCGTGCACTGCATGGCTTTTATCAGTTTTTATTACATCGGGTCAAGGAAACACATGGAATCTTTCAACGTGGTCCTGCCTCTTTGGGCATATATTCTAAATAAAACATATATCCATTCTCATTCCCAATGAGAAAGGTATCAATTCAAAAGAATCTCACCTTTCACCAAATTCTACCTTTACAATCCTTTAACAGTCATATCACTATACACAGATTTTTGGCAGTCAAAGGTCTAACACAAAGCAAAGCTTTAACACAATCAGAGAATACAACTGGTAATTTGATGCACCGTCATTGGGCGGGTCAGACTGCATGAGGCAATGTGGCTGTGTGGAGGGACAGAAGTCTGTACCTGTGGCAACTGTTGCTCTTGATTTTCATGTGTTCCTCCACCATTCCAATGCCTATTCCTTAAAAGCAAGTGGAAGATGTGACGCCAAACAAACTGGGCAGCTGCTTTAACTCTCTAACATAACTATCCATCCTCTTAAAAGGACTCACTGACTACTAGTTTGATAAGTACTGTCAAAGGACATTTATTTGTAACTTTTGAGAAAAGTAATTTTCAGATGCTAGTCTTAGAATACACTCAGATCCTTTCCAGTTTGAATGAACAATTCTAATTCTTGGCTTGGTTGGGAGTGGGGCTAAATGAAACCTGAGCTGTACACCCTTGAGAAGACATAATAAAAAAAGCAACATCTATGCTATCAGTGTTTAGTTTGAACAGTTGCTGCACAGGTGACAGCCCCATGCCCTGTACCAAGTTTTAAACAACATCACTAGTATCTTTATCCAAAAGATACTTGAGATTTAAATGCTTATTACAGGAGAGAAAAGAACATTTGCCAAGTGTCATCTATGGGCTAAGCACTTGCTAGATGTTTTATGTACATTCTGTCATTTAATCCTCAAGGCAATTTTAAATGGTGTTATTTTCTTCATTGTACAGGTGGAGAAGATGAGACTCAGAATGCTTCCATGACTTGCCCAAGGTCACATCATTAGCATGTGGCAGAGATCTGAAATAAAAGTTTGGGTTTTCTAACTCCACAGCCCATACTTTTTCTTCTATATATAGTATTAGGCAACTGAGAAGAAAAAGACATGAGAGTAAACAGTTAGCTAGCAAAGTTAGGGATGAGGATTTTTACTTGTAAAAAGCCCACCCACCTGTATCCTTCTGAAATATTCCAATTTTCAAAGAATCAGAATATGATTCTGGCATTCAGTACTAAATCACTACTGAACACAAGCAATCTGACTTTGCTGACTCAGAGGCTCTTCCAGGTCTTCTCTGTATCTTCCCCCAGACAACATCAATTATTCGTGCACTACAGGTAAATGGAAAAAGAAAATGCCAGGTAGAGAGCACCTGCCTTCAAGATGCCGTGCACTGCATGGCTTTTATCAGTTTTTATTACATCGGGTCAAGGAAACACATGGAATCTTTCAACGTGGTCCTGCCTCTTTGGGCATATATTCTAAATAAAACATATATCCATTCTCATTCCCAATGAGAAAGGTATCAATTCAAAAGAATCTCACCTTTCACCAAATTCTACCTTTACAATCCTTTAACAGTCATATCACTATACACAGATTTTTGGCAGTCAAAGGTCTAACACAAAGCAAAGCTTTAACACAATCAGAGAATACAACTGGTAATTTGATGCACCGTCATTGGGCGGGTCAGACTGCATGAGGCAATGTGGCTGTGTGGAGGGACAGAAGTCTGTACCTGTGGCAACTGTTGCTCTTGATTTTCATGTGTTCCTCCACCATTCCAATGCCTATTCCTTAGCAACATTAAATAATGAATAATCTGCAAGCAACCATATCTAAATAAAGAGCTCAATATTTGAATCTCAAAGAAGTGGCTGATTTCAGAAAGGCATTTCTTGACACTCTAGAGCAGACTGGGATGGAAGTTGTACCGAAGGCTGGAGAAGAGCCCAATGTGTTTCACAAGGTTAGGCTCCACGACATAGGCCCGCTCTCCCTTCGCCCTCAATAGTGAGTACAATGCCATGTCCTTGCCAAAACCCTTGTGGCAATACACTTGGGACAAGTAGGTGAGGGTTCGGCGGGCCGCAGGGGCAGGGAAGAGCATGGCTGGGGTACAACACTGAGAAGCAGGAACCACACTGTATAGCGAAGGACTCAGACGCCGCAGTTCCAGAAAATAGTGCCGCCCCACCAGTTCAACCAGACCCATGCTATAGAGAGAGAAGAAGAGCATGACAGGCCAGCTAAACCCTGGGCGGCTTGCAAACCTCATGTATATCCAGGTTAGTAAGGGCCCTAGCACCATACCCACACCAAGCCACTCCAGGATCCTCATGGGCTCTGGGTTGATGTAATGCTGGAGCCTCTCAGGGTGATAGAGCTTTAGATAAAGGGCATCTCTGAGGTGTGGCTCAGACAAACGAGCCCGTAGGAGGTGCTCTAAGACTGGAAAGATCTGTTCTTCTGGAACAGCATCATCTTCCACCATCAGGACATAGTCTGGGTTATAGGTCTGCAGGGAGGACTCCAGGCAATAGACATAGTCTTGTTTCTCTTTCTCAAATGAGTTGGTTGAAGGGTCATCACCATAGTCATCCTCAGTGCCCTCATAGCGGTTAGCCACAGGGACATACTTGGAGAGGAGCTTGGCATCAAAATGGCTCACGCTACGCTCCACATTGCACAGGAAGAGTTGGTGCCCCTCACACTGGGGTCCACATTGCTGAAGCAGCCGGTGGAACTGGGACACCACCTGCAAGACATAGTGGAAGCCAGGCTGCCTGTCCACAGTGATGATGGTGATCACCAGCCAGGGGCGGGGTGTAGCCTGCCACACAATGGGCACTGAGCCATTGGCAGAAGGCAACTCCTCAAAGTAATGGAGGGCAGCCTCACCCTCTTTCAAGCTTTGCTGCAGGAACTCTTGACTCATTTGGTTCAAGTGCCAGTGGCGCAGATAGAAGTAAGAGTGTAGAAGACGGTGACAGGCAAGGGGTGCCAGCAAGCCAAAGGTTACCACTGTTAAAATGAAGAGCTGGACAGCAGTGCTGCCCCAGGAGAGTCGCCTCAGCCTCCGGAGAAGCATGGCAGCTGGAGAGGTTGAAGTACTCATGAGGTCAACTTTTGGTCATGTTTGATCCCAAGAACAAATCATCCTGGAACTCAGAACAGAACCACTGCAAGTCAAACCTAAGGGAAGGAAGTAGAGAATAGAAAAGAGAACTTAAAAGAAATCCAAGGACTAAATCTAGTACATATCAAGCAGAAATTCTAATTCAAGGCTATGTAGAGACATTAAATATTTTCGGCAGTAAACTGCTCTTTGGTTGTATCTGTTAATGATCTCTGGGATGCTTTTATCATTTCTACTGAGTAATATGATCTTGGTGCATCCAACTGAGTCTCCATAACATAGGATGCTTAGTTAGGTTTACAATATGCTACCTTGGTAAGATCATCATTTCTAGTCTCCAGAACAGGTTTCTAAAACAGACATAAAAAAGCAAGGCTTGATACAGAGGAAATACACACATTTAGATAGACCAAGTCCCAGTATAAGCGCCCACTAACTACTTGGCTACTGTGCATAGTCATTTCTGAAAATTCTTTCTTTTCTGCACATCCCAAATGAGAAAAATAAAATAGAGTTGTCCTGAGGGATTGGTTCCAGGACTCTCCCACAGATACCAAAATGTGGGGCTGCTTAAGTCCACTATAGAAAATGGTGTTGTATCTGCAAATAACCTACACAATCTTCCTGCACATTCTATATTTTAGTTTATCTATTTATTTATTCCATAAGCAAAAGACAGAGAAACAGCACCGCCCAACAGTGTCTCATTCCACTACAAGTCTCAGCCAGCCTCAGGTACATGAATACCTGGCGTACTCAGGGAGTTCTCTAGATATGAATGCAGAACCTCCATATGGGCCAACCTTGTAAAGTGTAGTGTTTTACTGCTGGCTCATCATACTGTAAATCATCTCTAGATAACTTACAAGTAATCTTAACATAAGTGAAAAGGAAAATACATTCATTCAATTTGGTTTGCAATGAGAAAGAGTGGAAATGTGTAGTTTGTTTTGCTTATAGAGTTATGATGACATGTTAAGAAAGTGTTGGACTTTAGGGCCAGCGGGTGGCATGATGGTTATGACGCTGGAGTTCCACATTGGCCGACCGTGGTTGAAGTCTCGGACCTAGTGGCTTGTTTCCTTGCTATCCTTTCCTCACTCTGAATCTCTGGTCAAATTAAAAAACAAAAAAAAAGAATAATTAAAAAATAAAGTTAAAGGGCCAGCAGGTGGCATGGTGGTTAAGGCGCTGACATTCCAGCATGGCTGACCACAGTTGGAGTCCTGGACTTGGTGGCTTCCTTTCTCACTTTCCCTCTCTCTCTGGTCAAATTAAAAAATAAATGAATGAATAAATAAAATTAAGTGAATAATTCTAAAAAAAATAATAAAGTTAAATAAATTTTAAAAAGGAAAGTGTTGGGCTTTATTTTGCTTTTTCATAATAGCTGCAGAAAAGTAGGAATCAGATTGAGGTGAAAAGTCAATTTGATAGCTTAGCATTTAAGTGTGATTACATATTCAGATAGCTTTTCTTGTTTCCTTTAAATATATGCATTGTGTGGGTAGTAATAGATGTAAATTTACTCTTTGAAAGCAAATCTTGTCTCAATGTTAATTGTAAGAGCCTTGCTAATTTAGTAGTGATGCTTTCCTTGCTTGTATAGGTGTGCATTTGTAAACCTTCATGCTATAAATGGAATTTGATCTCTCTCTTTGGGAGACATTTGCATTTTAGTATACATTCATGTCCCTACTCTCTTTGACCTGACAATATAGTGCTGTATAATGTAAACTTATTTCCCAATATTAAGAGTGATTTTTTTTTAAAAAAAGTATTCTCTTTATATGGTTCCATAAATACGAACCAGCTTCTCTTTATTGTGAGAAATACTGTTTCATAACACATTTGTTGACACTGTTAATATAGACATGCTAGGATCTGGGTCATTTTCTACTGAAGTCAAGGTACTGTGCATGGGAGAAAGTGTTAGACTGCAGTATTGGGTTACCATGGAAGCCAGTGCTTTTCCCATCTTATTAAACTGATGTGACTCTTCCCATTGGACAGAAGAGTACTGTATTTTTGAATAGCCTGCTCCTGGGTAACAACAAATTTGTTTGATAACATTTTTTTCTCTGCATGTAAGATATAAGAACAACATGATGTACATATACAAGTGGCCTTGGTACATTTCCCAATAATGTTCCTTTTTTTTTTTTTTTAAGAGAGATTTTTGCTGTAGGCCTTGTGCACTCACCAGAGACACAGAGAGAAACAAAGAAAGAGAAAGTGAAAAATCACCCGGTGGCTTCCTTTCTCACTTTCCCTCTCTCTCTGGTCAAATTAAAAAATAAATGAATGAATAAATAAAATTAAGTGAATAATTCTAAAAAAAATAATAAAGTTAAATAAATTTTAAAAAGGAAAGTGTTGGGCTTTATTTTGCTTTTTCATAATAGCTGCAGAAAAGTAGGAATCAGATTGAGGTGAAAAGTCAATTTGATAGCTTAGCATTTAAGTGTGATTACATATTCAGATAGCTTTTCTTGTTTCCTTTAAATATATGCATTGTGTGGGTAGTAATAGATGTAAATTTACTCTTTGAAAGCAAATCTTGTCTCAATGTTAATTGTAAGAGCCTTGCTAATTTAGTAGTGATGCTTTCCTTGCTTGTATAGGTGTGCATTTGTAAACCTTCATGCTATAAATGGAATTTGATCTCTCTCTTTGGGAGACATTTGCATTTTAGTATACATTCATGTCCCTACTCTCTTTGACCTGACAATATAGTGCTGTATAATGTAAACTTATTTCCCAATATTAAGAGTGATTTTTTTTTAAAAAAAGTATTCTCTTTATATGGTTCCATAAATACGAACCAGCTTCTCTTTATTGTGAGAAATACTGTTTCATAACACATTTGTTGACACTGTTAATATAGACATGCTAGGATCTGGGTCATTTTCTACTGAAGTCAAGGTACTGTGCATGGGAGAAAGTGTTAGACTGCAGTATTGGGTTACCATGGAAGCCAGTGCTTTTCCCATCTTATTAAACTGATGTGACTCTTCCCATTGGACAGAAGAGTACTGTATTTTTGAATAGCCTGCTCCTGGGTAACAACAAATTTGTTTGATAACATTTTTTTCTCTGCATGTAAGATATAAGAACAACATGATGTACATATACAAGTGGCCTTGGTACATTTCCCAATAATGTTCCTTTTTTTTTTTTTTTAAGAGAGATTTTTGCTGTAGGCCTTGTGCACTCACCAGAGACACAGAGAGAAACAAAGAAAGAGAAAGTGAAAAATCACCCCAGTGGGACCAGCAGTTAGTGTAATGGCTATGTCGCTGGACTCCCACATAGCCGCTGGACCACGGTTCGCATCCCGGACCTGGTGGCTTAAAATTCACGCGGGCGCGTGTGTGTGCGTGCCCAAGATCCCAAGAGGAGAATGGAGGAGAAGGGATTGCGGCGTGGTCATCCCCCCGGGGGGTAATTTCTCACTTTCTGTCTGTCTCTGTCTGTCTGGCGAGCACACGTGCCCTATGGCAAAAACCTCTCCAAAAAGAAAAAAAAAAAATCATCCCCATGGGGGTAGGGCCACACCACAATCCTTAGTCTTCCATTTTCTTCTCAGGATTTTGGGCATGCATGCACATGCACCTGCTGGGTCTGGGATTTGAACTGCAATCAGCCATGTGGCAGTTCAACACCTTAACCACTATGCCACCAGCTGGCTCCCCAATAATATTAAGGCATTATTTTGACCATATGTGTCTAATTAAAATAGTTTTTAATCCTTTACCTATGGCGAAAAAAAGAAAAGGAACGGAAAATAAATAGGTAAACTTCTTTAGCATTTTATTTTAGGGAGACAGCTCATCCTCCATTTCAAAACAGATGATGTGGACGGCTGGCAGATGGCATGGTGGTTAAGGGGCCTGAACTCTCGTATGGTCAATGGTGGATCGAGTCCCAGACCTGACAGATTGCTTTCTCTCTCTCTCTCTTGCTTTGTCCCTCTCTGGTCGAATTGAAATACATAATAAATGAGCTAGATCCAGCTACGAGTCAACCAGACCTGGCAGGCAGCCTGGGAAATGCCAGCCATTTAGTAAATGCTATCGTTTATGATATAGCAGGTGCGACTGACATAAAGAGGACCTTTAATCCCAGGCAATTTTCCCACACAGGAGCAGAAAAATCATTAACATATAAGATCTCTTTTTAAAAAATATGGTTGTAAAACTGCAGTTTTACTGACAATCAGGAGAAAGATTCAGTTCAAAGGAAACATGACCCCTGTCTACATTGATCAGCTCTTGCTGGGGTGATGGATAACCCTAAATATTCTTAACTTATATTAACAACATGCATTGCACACAGGCCTGTGGAGAGCTGCGGCTTGCTGGGTTCAGTACACAAGTTATTCTATGTGCCTCTCGTGCCAGATCAAGCTGCAGATGAAACAGCCACCTGGGAAATGCTCTTACGTTGAACGGAAGCTGCACAAGAGGCTTAGACAAAGCATGTAGGAACATGTGCATCCTTGCTTAAGTGTACCATGGATCAAGTCCATTTACCATCTGCTGGCCAAAGCAGTAGAGCAGAGAAATTTACTTCTACTCAGCAACGTTAGGAGAATATGAAGACTGGGTAGAAAGGAAAAGCAGTAGGCCAATTTTTAAGCCCTCAGGAGAAAAGAAAGGGTCTTAACAATCTGTTCAGAGAGTGTGGGAAATTTCTAGAATGCTCACAAGGCATACAGCCTTCCCCCACCCTCCCATCATTACACGCTGCATGAGTCAGGCAGGCTGTAGTAATCATCCCCAAATCTCAGTAGTTTGTAACTAAGGTCTAATTCTTGCTTCTATCTCTTGTCCATTATGGATCAATTGTGCCTCTGTTCCATGTTGTCTATACTCTAGGACCCAGGCAGATGGAGCTGCCTTTTTCTTGAACATTGCCAATCTTCTGGCAGAGAGAAGAGACAGTGAACCACAAACTAGCTGTCAAAGCCACAGCTCACGAGTGACATACATCATTTCCACCCACATTTTATTGACCCAAGAAAGTCACAAAATAACTCGAGTTCAACAGAGCAGAGTTAAAATTTTCCAAAAGCACATGGCCATGCCTGAAGTCAATTATTATGATAACATACATCTCTCCAGAGAGGGGCAGAAATTTTTTGTACAATAATACAATCTATGGACCCCACTTTGAGTTACAGAAGCTTAAACTAGATATTGAATTCAATGATGAGTTAACAAATTTGCTGAAAATGCAGCCACACTGAGTTATGTAAATAGGCATTTAAGAGTATGCTTTTTTGTTTGCCTTTTAAAATATTTTCTTGGGGCCTGCAAGTGGCATGGTGGTTAAGTGTGCTAGACTTCCACATGGCCGACCACAGTTCAAGTCCCGGACATGGCAGCTTGCCTTCTCACTTTCCCTCTTACTCTGCCCCTCTCTGGTCAAACTAAAATAAATAAATGAATAAATAAAGTTAAATAAAATAATTCTCTAAAAATATTTTCTTAAAAGATTTAAGCAATTACAGGACAGTAGGATTGGTGAACAATGCCACCTATAATTTATTTCACTGAACTTAGCTGGTTTTAACACAACTGGCCTTAGCACCGACCTAAGAGCATAGCTTTTTACTAGGTGTTTGGAGGAAGGAGTTCTTTACTCTTAGCCTAATCATGGGTGTGAGACAGAGAAGAACTATGTCTACATGATCACTCTGCCTGCCTTTTTGCAGAATTCCAGTCATTCATGATGTCACTGCTCAGGCTCACAATCCTGTGACATTATGGATTGACTGGCACTTATCAGTTCACCCGTAACCACACCATTATAACCCTGATTCTATGAACCAATGTTAGTAAGAAGTTCCACTTTATCTTCTGTATTTCTAGATTGATTGGCATTTGTAATTTGACTTGGTAACAACCACATTGTTAAGGCCCAGATTCCATAGAAATGTTTACCCAGTTCTTATCTATGCCTTGCTAGTGTACTTTGAAACATAACCATTCCCCAAACCGGATTTTGCCTGTTACCAAGTCCAGGGTGAGGGCTTAGGGAAAATAATCAAGGACAAAGTCTTCAGAAAATGAATATGAATTAGAGCTTGGATGAATAAATGGAGCCAACAAAAGCAGTCATCTTAAGAGGGACTACTGAAAATTAAACCAAAGGAGCTGTAGGCGTTATGGGAGGCAGAACATCAAGCTGAGCGCCAAGAGATGAGTACTGAAGAACAGTCCATGTTTCATAAGTCTGCCCCCCTACATACATGGTACCGCCACTCTCCCAGGTGCTTGGGTTCAAAACACTAGCATTTCTGACTTTTCACCTCTATCCAGTCACTTCCCAGTTCAACTTCCCAAGGTTTCTCCTGTTTTTCTTTTCTCTACCCCTCCTCACTGCCACAAAGATAGTTATCTCTTATCACCTCCAGGCCAACTGATCGCAACAGACTGCTAACAGCTTTGGCTTTGGACTTCCAGAGACAGCAACAGATTTGAAACCAAAACATCTGAGTCTAGTTCTGGTCCCAACATTCACTATTTAGATCCATTTACATAAATAAATAATTTATCTCTGAGCCTATTCTGGGCTCAAAAGAGGAAAATAAAATATATTTGAATGTATGCAAGAGCAATAGGTTTTAAAATTTGGTTAGAAGATTTTCTTTCATCATCCAGCATCATAATGTTCCTGGCTTTAAAAAAAAATCAATTTTATTAAAATATAATTTACATAGAGCAAAATGCTGTATGTATATAAATGTATATTTTGATGAGTTTAAACAGACTTATACACCCATGTGACCACCATTACAATAAAAATTTGACCAAAGTATTCTAAAGATCATCTGGAATTAGGACTAGTAAACACTGCCAGAAATGTTAGCTTTCGTGCAACATATATAACAAAAAATTACTACTTTAATAAGTAATACGTAAAGATTGCTTAAAATTCAGGAAGAAAAAATAATTAATTGAAAAATGGGGAAAAAAATGAACAGTTAATTCACTCAGACTAATGCAAAAGGCTAATTAATACACAGAGGAAAAGGTTTCAATTCCTAGGGGTAATCAAAGACATGCAAATTAAAGCAAGGTACCATCTTCTGGCCCATGATATTAACTTAGAATTTTTAATGTATATAGGGCAAATTTTGGGAAGATATGCAGAAAAATCTCAACATTCTAAAAGCTGACGGTTAACATTTTATTTTCTCCTTTACATTTTTTTGTTTCCTGAATGTTTTATAATTATCTTATCCTTAAACAATCCAAATACTTCTAATAATATAAGCTATTTAAAACAGTCTCAAAAAGTGCGTTGCACTGGTGCAGTGCGTTCTAGAAACGCATCCAGAAAACAACAAAAGCCCCCTAGAAGCTGTAGTTTCCTTGGAGAAATACAAACGTAAGCACACACACCCCTGCAGGTGTTGCTAATGGTCCGCAGAGTGAGATCATCATTGGAGCCGCCCCTCCGAACCCGGGCAGAGCGTGGGCCAAGCAGGAGGTACTCGGGTCACACTGATCCTGCAAGGGTCACGCCTCAGACATGGTGCGCGCAGTGCGGCACTGGCGACGCCCGAGTCCAAAGGCCAGAAAGGGGTAGAGACACGCCTAGATGATCTTAACTGCCCTGATTGTCCCTCCTGGAAAAAAGGATGGGGACGAAGACCGGAGCCTCGGATCTAGACACCGCCGCTGACCTTGGGCACTCCCCGCCGCGCCGGGGCCTCAGTTTCCCCACCCGTAGGTCCAAGAGGACCATCTCCATCACCGCGCTGTTCCCTTCGGCGGGTCTTCCTGGAGGCTAAGGTGGGGGAAGGACGCCTCCCAGCCGGCACAGAGCAGCGAGGTCGCCCTCAGAAACCCGGCGCTGGAACGCTACTCTCACGGGCCGGGTGGGCCCGAGGGCGGACGCGCGACCAGGGTCCCAGCTACGCGCAGGCGGCCATTAGGCCATGGGCCCGCCGGGCGCCGGGGGTCTCACCCAGGCTCGCAGGCGCCCAGCTCGCCTCCGTCAGTCGCTCAGCGCAGGGGCGAGGGGTGGCGAGGCGCAGCGCTCATCCATCCCCGTGTGGTCGCGGGTGGCGGCGGGGCCGGGGACGCCCTTCAGTGTCGCCGCAGGAAGCTGCAGGCGCCGTGGGCAGGGCCGGAGCCAAGCCCGTCTGCCTGGAGGGGCTGTCCCCATGCCCGCCAGCCGCGACCACCCTTCATCCGCAGTCTCTCTCTCGGGTGGCTTTCTGGAGTGGGCGCTCCTACCACCAAGCCGCTGCACGGATTGTGCGTCACGGAAACCTACCCGGTAGGGACCGTCAGCTCCGGGCCCGGAGCACTCTGGGGGCCGCCTCCCGTGTCGCCCAGGCTAGCAGCTGGCCCATCCCGGTGCAGGCGCCATGGCCAGATCCCGAATCCCGGAGCATTTCGGGGCGTGCGCCTGAGCCTCACCTCCTCCCGCCGCCCAGC